TATTTTGGTTGATCAGTCACTGGAGAAAGTTGTGCCAACGGTCATCCTGAACCGCAGCGTTGGTAGGTTGCCCTAAACCCATATTTTTTTGTAGTGCGCGTTTGTGGACTCCTTGACTTCCTCTGGCCTTGGGAGGCTATGGATGGACGTGTGATGACTTCTAATCATCAAATTAGGCACCAACCATGCCTCTCATCCTGGATAAGCCTCCCAAAGGGAATTCTCTCTGGTAGGGTTGATGCATCACCAAATAAAAATTTAAACACTTATCCACAAAAAAATAAAACATATTTTGAGAAAAATATATTCAATTGAATCATATTTTTCTCAAAATAAATCTCTAAGAAAATTTATCCTTTGTTTTGCTCCTCAACATTCAGTGAAAGTTGTCATTAACATTGGAGTGCAGTATTTCCTGCAATGATCGAAACAATAGACCGATTGAGCTTCATATCCAACATCAACAACATGGGCATCAACATTGTAGCTACAAAGTTTTGCCGCATCTAATTTTAAGGATATCCAATTAGGTCCAAGAAAGCGTCTCCAACAACACACATATATCTTCAGATCTGATTTCTCACTAGCTTCCATACACGAAGCACAACTTGATAATTGTTTGTTATTTGGATCATTTACACCTTCAGCTTGTAAGATTTGTATTGGAACCCATAATCAAAATCGTACTAATCTCAACAATGGAAACCATTCGTCGAGCATGTAGAGATTCAAATATTTGTCGAGAGTATAAATGTGATCGTAGCCGATGAGAGTGATATCAACTATGTCTTTACTTTTTTCCTTCAAATGCCTCCATTTTTCGGTCAACAGCACGCCTGCAAACCACTAACCTTTTCTCCATGATATTTTTGTCTCGGTGGAATATTCCAATAATGCATGCCACTACAGTGCCAACAGTTGAGCCCGAAGGGACAACTGCCTTAAGCAATAAATAAATGAGTTATAAGATGACATGTTGGTTTGAGTATAGTATAAGATTGAAAAGGAATAATGATTTTATGGTGACACGTGATTGAAGAGAAAAAGATTTTTGTTGTTGCACGTTTTGAAGACATTCGATAAGTGAAAAAAATATATGCGAAAAGATATGAAAAATGACAAGGAGATAGAGCGAGTATTATTAATATTGTTATTATCACTATCAATAGTATTGTTAAGTTTTGTGTAGCACGTGATATTATTCTTTATACTAAGACTTATCTCATAGCTTCAGATATGTTTGGGGATCGGAACCACTGAATGCCAATGGGAGCAGACTGAGCGAAAGGCGATGAGATCAGAAAGATGATGAGGCTCTAACTTATCTCTAATGCTTAGCAATATTTCAATTGGGAGATCAAACCATGAGGAAGAAAGTAAGAAAGAAGGTAACATTGAAAAAGAAGACGACAATGAATTTACTTTTGATGTTGAAAAATAGCTTCTATTTTATTATATCTTGGTGTCAGAGAAAGCCGAGAGGGAGTGACGGAGGTACATAAATAAAGATGTATTTCTAATATTAACACTATTTCTTGTAGAGATGAATTAAAGGTTAATTTTCAAGTTAAAAGATGCATTTTTATGTGATAGTCAATCGATCAAGTAACTCTGAACTCCGCACTTCATTATGATTAAATAAAGAATCCTGATCACACACCCGCCTTCCTTTAAATTCCTTTAATTATTCCCATTTATCGAAAGTTCTCCATGTTATTTCATTTGTTTGTCTGCCTTTGTCGTATGTCATCTTTTTTCAATTTTTCTCTTCTCTTGGTCATTCACATGATAAGTAAGAGGGACTTAGTCGGAAAAGAGAAGTTTATGACTATACACAAACTAGCAACTTCTTTAAAAAAAAAAAAAAGAAAGGAACGAAAATAGGGAGAAAACGATGACATTGAAGAAGAAGACGAAGATCAATATTCTTTTGATGTTGAAAAGAGTATTTATTTTGTTGTTTATTGGTGTTAGGGAGGAGAGAAATCTGCATGACCTCTTACATTTAAAAGTTTGGAAGTCAAGAGGGAATAGCAAAGACAAATCCTACGTTATAAATAAGGATATATTTCTAATATTAGTTCTTTAAATTTGTTGTTTTTGGTAGAGATGAATAAAATTTTTTCCTTTAATTTATTTCTTAAAAATACGAAATTAATAGAATTTAAATTATGATGATGTAAAACTTATTATTAATAAGGATCACCACAAATTTGACAGATTTTTTTTTTTCACAACTTGTCTAATGCAAGTGTTGATGGTATTTAATTGCTTCTTTATGATGAGTTGATTGAACTGAGGTTGTTCCGATAAGTTGACGAACGACCTGCCAGTCTCGGAGCGAGCAAAATTGTAGCTTGAAAAGAAAAAATCTTCCCCAGTAACAATAATCTTGATGATTGTCTCGATCAACCGACAATAACAATTTCAATGACATCATCAATATTTCACGGCAATATTTCACGATATAACTTTTATTTAATATAAAATATGAACAAGAAAATATAAATGAGACTTTTTTTGGAGGAAGCAAGGTAATATCACTAATATTATACGTCTAGCCTCCTTTTTTTCTCTCTTTCTCTCTTTATTTATGTTGTATGCATTAGCTGTGGTTCACAGACAAATTTGGGTTGAATATTTAATACAAATAGCCATTAATTTAGCTTTCTTATATTGTAAAATTTAAGAATGTAAAGTTTTTTACAAACATATACTATAAAAAGGCATATTTATCCCATATTTTGCTAATTAAGACTTGGATAAAACGTTAAATATTAGTTATACTTGGATAAAGTAGCTACACTGGCATAGTGCACATGTCAAACTCTAGTAAGTATTGTTCTTTAACTTTAGATGTATGAGACCTACGGGATCATGGTCGAGGGAGACGACAATAACATTATTGACTTTCTCTGTAACACGTTGGATATGAAAACCTGACAACGCCAACTTTCTCAAGGGCCTGACAATATTTTAAAATTGGAAATATTCAAATTATTTCTATGAGTACTATGTCATTATAGAGATAATGAGAATATTTCTTTGTTATGAAGACTGGTGCAGATATCCAAAATTGCCTGCAAAACCAAAACTCATACCAAGGAAGATATGGAAGCAACCGGTTGAGCCCATTGCAACATAAGTTATCCTCTCCATCATTCATATTACATCAAACATACCACAATTTTAAATTTTAAAACGTGAAACACATCTTTTCATGCATAAACATACAAAAGCATAAGAGTTGAGTGATATGCATAAGTCTATCTAAAATAAAAGAATTACATGTATCATATTTATCATATATATTAAAACTTGTTCTTGGTTATATAGATAGATATTTGATTGAGGACTGCATAGATGAGGGAAAAGCTGCAGGTTAAGATGGATTGATTTTCTGAGGCTGAATCTCAAAAGATGATCATTCTCACAGGAAGAAGAAGATTTGATTATTAGTCCAAAATAAAGATGGAAAATTTACAGACATAACACTTGGTCTCTATTTATTATACATCTAACACCATACTTTATTTTTTACATACAAACAGACCATCTTACTTATGCATGAGACTGTGTATTTCGCTTTTTAAAAGTTAAAATGTGACGTGAAAGATTCGGGTGGTGTAAATGCTAAAAATGTAAATATAGGTGTTAGATGTATAAATACAAAGAAATTAGGTGATACGTATCTAAATGCCGTTCTAATTCGAACAATGCTCTCATTCCTGATTATAAAATCTAAAATTCAAAATAATTTCTTTTTATTTTCATAGAGCATTCTCATATTTATATGCATAGGACTAATAATAAGATAAAAGAACAACAAGAACCCGTCTTCATTATGCTTGATAAAGGATATTATTGGGCCTATTGACGCCCCTTCTTCTATGAGATAAACGTTTATTACTGAATTGAATAATTATCGTCCGTCACTGTGAAGGAGGGGAGGGTCGATCGATGAATCGGGATCAAGAATTCTTGTCCGTGCCTCCGTCAGTCGTGACAGTCGACATGACCTACCCGTCATCCGGGCCTTCCGAATGCTTTAAGATTTGTACTGACAGTTGTGGTGTATACAAAAAAAAGGTACAACATAATTTCAAAAAACTTATTAAAATTTTTGAATTAAAAAAATTTTATTTAATAAGATGTTGAAGATGATTTATTAAACAAAATACTAAATTCGATACAGTATATCATATATAACTTTCTTAAATGCATTCTATATTTATATTCAATTTTCTATA